AGACGAAAATTGACGGAAGCGGGATGGCACAAAATATAGCCTCGCCCCCTCCCCCATTTACTCACTCAACTTGGCTCTCGGACAAGCCCTTCCTCTATTCTGGGCATCGGTGGCGATGACGACTCAGATCCATCGAAGCGGCAGCGGCGGCGTTGGTGGAAGCTTGTAGTCCCCTTCTTCTTTGACTCCGCCCGGCTATCCTCGTCTCAGCCATACCCCCTCCCCCCACCTCGACCCTGAGCTGGTAAGTAGCATACAACCCCCCTCCTCTGTTAGGTCATTTCTTAGGACCGTTTAGGGTCGGTTGCACCATTGTTGACTGCACAATGGATGTCGCTTAGGTTGTGGATGAACGGATGAAGCTTGTAGTCCAGGCAGCATCGTTGATAGATGTGGTTCGGGCCTGGATCTTGTTGGTCCATAAGAGAGTTGGTCGTCAGAATGACAAACTTGTCATCTAGTATGGTCCATGTTAATCCGAGATCGGGAGAGGATAGTGAATATGAACTACATCTACAACCGTAACGACACATAGGCCCGTGGATGCTTCGAATGAAAAGAGCATATTTCGCCAGGCTTGTGCAAACGTTCAGGAGCAGGGGGTTGCTACAAGATAGCATCCACACCACTATGGAAGAGCAAGTTGCCATGTTCCTGCATGTTGTAGGTCATAGCCAGAGGTTCAGGGTTATGCACAACACATTCAGGAGATCAATGGAGACCATTTCCAGGTACTTTAGGCAAGTGTTGTATGTTGTTGGGGAACTCGGAGGAGAGATGATCAGGTCACAAACCGGTCGGACTCCTAACAAGATTCGCACTAGCCCAAGATGGTATCTATACTTCAAGGTGAGCACAATACGTAGTTGATGCCTTGATATGCTTGTATTGTTCTGTTATAGCCATAACACCATCTTGCAATGCCATTTCAGAATTGCATTGGGGCAATAGATGGTACTTATGTCACTCTCAGAGTGTCGAGGTCATAATCTGCAGCATGCAGGGGGAGCAAGCACTATACAAGCCAAAATGTGCTTGCTGCTGTTGACTTCGATTTGAAGTTCACATATGTGTTGGCTGGCTGGGGAGGATTAGCACATGATGCCAACATTCTAAGTGACAACATGATTAGACCCGATGGCAAGTTCTACCTAGGAGATGCTGGTTATGCATGTCGACACGTGTTCTTCCACCCTTCAGGAAAACCAGTACCATCTGAGCGATTCCTCTGGTGGGAAATATCCTAGGACTCCTCAGGAACTGTTCAATCTCAGAGACTACAACCTTGGAGTTAGGGTTGAGAGGGCATTTGGACCTCTGAAGAATGGGTTTAAGATCCTGCATCAAAAGCCATTCCACCCTTACCCGACCCAAATTAAGCTTGTTCTTTCATGTTCAATCCTTTATAACTAGATCCTACAATGGGGTTGTGATGAACTTGTGCCGGGCGAGGAAGATATGATGCCCGATGATGTGGTCAGCTCTGGCCATGGTGTGGAGACGTTTAACAATGAAGCGTGGAGAACAAAACATTGGAGTGGGCTCAGACAACGTAGGATAGCAGAGGTCAGACGAAGAAGAAGAAGAAGAAGAAGAAGAAGAAGAAGAAGAGGATGGACTTCCACCTAGTTAGCATCGATGAACTTTCTCTTATTCAGCCATATGGCTCTTAATAATTTGTACTGCCATTTGTTAATAGTTAAGATAAACTGTCATTTGTTTCCTAGCTAGAACAAGACGTTGTTCAACTAGTGTGTGTGGTAAGGTCACCACTAGTGTGAAGTCACACCTTATGCCGTTTGCAACCAAACAACATGCTATTTGTCTAACAACAGCGACACGGGCAACCAAAAAACGTAGTAGAAATTGCTTCCTTGATGCAGGAAGCCTAATGCAGGCAACCAAACTACATGCAGATGTTGAATTTTAGCCCTATGTTTAGGGTGAGGGGAGGGGGAGGGTTGCGGGCTTGGCGGATTTTTTTTTGCTCGAGACCTTTAAGGGATGGCCAGGGGTGGAGGCAGCACCGCGGGTTAAGGGAGGGCGGGGTAATGAGAAGCGCGACCGGCTACATGTGAAGGTTGAACAGGAATAGTTCCACGCACGATCTTGGTCGTTAGATGGTCATCTAACGGTTGACACTGGTTTTTTTCCCTGGGTGCCCGATGAATAGGCACTCGTTTTTTTATTAAGGGGTAATGACCTCTAATTTCTATCGGAAATATTAAAAATCTAACGGTGGACTTTTAAGCATGTCAAATATGATGCTCGGAATGACAAATTATATTGTCGTGAGCATGACAATTTTCTTCAGCAAGCATATCAAGTCCTGGCAAAAAAGACTAAGCACATCAGGGATTTGTCATGCTAGAAAATCCGACGTCAGATTTGTAGCAAAACATCATCGCCCACAACCTTTCAAGACACAATCTACCGAAGGAAATTGCCATACTCGCAACATCATAAATTGATACCCCAAGCCGTCAGATTTGCTATGTTTGTTCACTGCAGAGAGTTAAAAAAGAAACATCATCGCCCACACCCTTTCAAGTGAACTGCCACTGATTGGCAACACCGCATACTATTATGTGGAGCCACATAACTCGCAGCTGGTCGTAACACGTCTGTACTGCAGACTCGACGTCCCGGGTAGGAACCAACTAGTGATGCACCACCAACAGATTTTATACAGGGAAGGGAAAGGAAGGGGAAAAAACCAACAGATGAGATGGACGCGCATCAAACCGCAAGGTCACACCTGTGGAAGATCTCCTCATCTTTTCTCCGCTTTACCAAATCGCCAGAAGCGACCCCAAATCTTCCTTTCAGGTCAGCCGAGCAAGCAAGAGGACAGGCCAGGAAACGAGAAAGAAAGGGAAGGGAACAAGAGAAAATGGTGGACCATGGCTTTGCTGTGGCTGATGGGCCTGCCAGGTCTATTCTATGGTGGAGTCAATTCATGGCAAGATTTGGGGGAAATCTGGCCCGGATCTTGCTTTCCATGAGGCGGGATTTCCTTTGGTCATCACACTTGTTTTCTCCACCCACCTTTTCCCCACCCCATATCTCCCTGGAATCCTTTCTCATGTGCTTCCGGTGCATATAAACTCGACTCCACCCACACGCTCCTGGAAAGCCCTCTCTCTCTCTCTCTCTCTCTCTCTCTCTCTCTCTCTCATGCCAAGCGCACACACCTCCTGCCTTAACTCTACCATCCTTGCTTTCTCCTCATAGCATCCTCCTCCATCACACAAAACACACGCTCTCTCTTTCTTCTCCGATGGCGGTGGCGATCGCGGAGGCTCCGTTCCATGTCTTGGCCGTGGATGACAGCGTCCTCGACAGGAAGCTCATTGAGAGGCTCCTCAAGACATCTTCTTTCCAAGGTATCAATCAATTTCATTTGCAGCATACGAAGTTGTGTTCCTGCTATGCCATGGCATCTGAGGCAGAGTCTCTGTTTCCGCAGTTACCACCGTGGATTCTGGGACCAAGGCTCTCGAGTTCTTGGGGCTCCATGGCGAGGACGCCTCCATTTCTTCTGTCCATGCGGACCAACTGGTAAGAAGACAGATGGTCTATCATGTGCGCAGCCACAGTACTAGTGCTCTGAAACTGTTTCTGATTGATTAATTTTGGGTTTGGTCCTAAGCAGGACGTCGAGGTGAACGTGAACCTCATCATCACCGACTACTGCATGCCTGGGATGACAGGGTACGATCTGCTCAAGAAGATCAAGGTACCAGCCCTTTTTTTTTTAGTTTGATTTGGTCTGCTCAAGCCTGAAGAGCATGGTGGCTAATGGTCTCCATCTGGCTTTTGTTGAATCAGGAGTCGTCGTCTTTCAGGGACATCCCGGTTGTGATCATGTCATCGGAGAACATACCTTCCAGAATCAACAGGTGAGCACGGTTACGGACCCAAAATCTTGTTTGTTTTGGAAACCAGATTGATTATTGATGGTGCTGATTTAGAAACTTTATAGCTGAACCACCGTTAGAAAAGATTCAGATAGTCTCATCTGTTATTACTACATGTTTGATAGACCTTGATCTAAATTTAGACACCAAGATCTCTTGGAATCCTTTATTGATTTGGGGTCACATGCCTTCTAATAAAGGAACAACCCCCACCCAGCTCACGTCGTGCTCATATTCTATCATGAAATATTTAGTGTCAAATAAATAGTAAAGATATGGAATGATACGGTTGTCGATCTTTCGAGTCGATTATCTCTATATAAAAAGGGTTATAGTAGCAGACAACTCACCAGTGCCACTTGTCTATTTCTATCGGCGCATATGGAGTAAAAACCCAAATATATGGACATAAATAAAGCTGTAAAGAAATATAGTAGGATCTTAGAATGAACTCTGACAATTACGGTTTTGTTTGTTCTGAATCAGATGCCTGGAGGAAGGAGCAAATGAGTTCTTCCTAAAACCAGTACGGCTATCAGACATGAGCAAGCTCAAGCCCCACATAATGAAAAGCAGATGCAAGGAGCACTGCCACCAGGACGAAGACCTGCTAAGCAACAGCGAGACCAACCTCACAAACAACAGCAGCAGCAGCGATACCGTCACCATTAGCGGCAGTAACCCCACAAACAACAGCAGCAGCGATACCATCAGCAGCAGTAACCCCACAGATAACAGCACTGGTGATAGCAGCAACATCCGCAAGAGAAAGGCGGCAGATGACGAAATTTTACCCAAGACAAGCAGACCAAACCACAGTTGTTAGCTGAAGAAAGATTGTTTGACAGTCAATCTTTTTTCCTTTCTTGGTTCTTCATCTTAATCAGGTTTCTGACATCTGATTTGTATGTAAAACCTATGCTAGCTCTAGTAAACGGATACGGCTTGAATCCAGTCGACCATGCTCGGTGTAACACGCCTGAAGTCCCAAATACCTTCAGGCCAATGAATCAGCATAGAGCTAACACGATTTTACAAACAGCTTGCTACACCTTTCATCCATGGAAACACATGCAGCCCTCAGAAAATACATCGGTATGTCACATGGTTCCCAGTAAGCTCACTGTCATATGTAACTTTAAGCACGGTTCCCTTGCCGAGGCCATAGTAGCGAGCAACAGGATCGGTCTCTAGCATGCGAGGGAGCTGAAAGATAAAAGCACCATTTTCAGCAAACTGTGGTTAAAAATAACTATATAACAACTTGATGAGGATTTTAAGAAATTGAAGGTTCATGCAAAAAGAACTTGATGAGGAGTAATAACAAATGCAGTTTGGCATTTTAGGCATGTGAAAAATCCAACAGGCAGACAAAAGGATAATGAGCTATGCCCCACAGCGACTAAGACATTAATATACTTATCTTCAATTCTTTTATGGTAACAGCACAATCAGTTAGTGTGTGGAAATACTAAATGTCTTAAACTGGGTAATACATCAAAGTTCTAGTTTAAACAAAACCAAATAAGAACACAAATAATATGGCAACCTCACAAAAAAATTATGGCAAATCAGAAAATTATCAGCATGATATGTCTATGAGACGCAAGTGGTCAGGATGGTAAAATGTATCAATGATGGTCTCCATCATCGCATCCAAGCACAACAAGGGATTGTGATCTTCCTTCAGCCACATTCATGTTGCAAACACAATCAAGCACATACTAGGAACTAACATGCAGACCAATAGGCAACAGCCAGGCTGATCTGTGAAGGAAATAGTGACATCCAGCAGGATGTAACAAAAAAAAGGTTACATAGTTCACATAGCGACTTGCAATATCGTTCCCGCAGGGGAAAAAACTTGCAACGCCAGCAAGACTGGAAAAATAACATCACAGTTCTAGCATGAAACACTTGATCCCACAAAAAATGGGGAAAATAGATAGTGATCGATGATTTGCCGTTTGCAGATTCGCAATTGAAGATTTGACACTACAAAGAGAGAAGATGAGATACAATTTCCAACGTTTTATCCTCTTCCACCTCCAACTGGCCTACACCCTCCTTTCCTCTAGCCCCATCGTTCATTCTCCAAGCCAGCTCCCAACATCACCCACCCGATAGCCTGTTCAACCCCATTTTTGCCCAACTCATTACATAAAAGAGCTCTTAACTCATGTACCTTCTCTTCTTGTCATTCTTGCATCTTCAACTGGGAGTTAACCAGCTGGCGAACCCGGCTATGAATAGCCCTACAGCCTGCATATAGTATGACACATTGACCACGGAAATGCCCTGCCGCCTGCCGTATTAGTATTGACACGTTTATCACTGAACAGCCTGCTGTCTGCTATATATTATGCCACATTGATCGCCGTGGCTTAAGAAAGGACCAGGTCAGCCACAAGAGGTGAAAATGGGGGTACAATTGATGACATTGACATCATTTCATAGTTGCTGAAATTGCAGGGCTTGCTGGACGAGTCATGGCACAGCAGGAGACGCCAACAAAGTTGAGGCCAAGGGAGTTTTTTCAGAATATGATAGCGGTGGCTCCTTTTTTTTTTTGAGGGCCTGGCTCCATAATGAGTGAAGTTCCTTCCCAAGCTTGGGGGTCACAAACTTGACAGGGAGTGTGGAGCTTCGTAACAAACAAGGGTAGGGGAAGCTGTTGGGCACCTTGGCATTCCAATGTATATGAAGGTTTGCCATGTCCATGAACAAGTACACCGTCGCCTCTGTGCAGCCTCCTGCTGTGGCAGCGGTGGGATTGTATAGCACTAGGAGAGTGGGGTTGAGGACAGAGTATGGAGGAGAATAATCCAATCAGGATTTGGAGATTCCAAGGCGGGGATTTGACACAGGGGATGAAAGGGAGATATCAAGCCCTCCTTGGTATTCAAGCATGGGGACAGGAGGGGAGCTACCTTAGGAGAAAATGTGGAGGTAGGGAAGAAGCAAAGGTAGGAGAGGACAAAGAGAAATATTGTATTCTTACATTCATATCTTGAGCAAAAGAAAAAGGAAGATAGAATAACAGAGAAGGTGCAAATTTTCATCTATTTCTCTCTTCCCAGTGGAAAATCATCAATGCACTTGCAGATTTGAAAAACGGCAAATCCTCAGTCACCACTCTTTAGAGTGGCAAATGACTAATTTTTCCACATGGAAAATAGTCAATTAGTTCTGCGGACGTAGCGTGAGTTCCAGTAAATAATACTCAAAAACATGATCGTACAAGTCGCCAAAGTTTTAACTCTACTGGTAATATAGATAAACCATAAATCAAACAAGAAGATCATCTAAAAAATGCAAAGCACCAACTCAATGTTGCTAGAACATTTTTTGTAATACCCATTTGTGAAGAGAGACACTGTATCTCTGACAGGCATATGACCCCTAGACTGTACGTGCAGACTGTTTTGTCACTCTTTGTTTTAACAATTAGAAAATATTTTCTCCATAATAGATATTGGTTCAACCTGGTAACTGTTCTCATCTGGCTAAAGAATCCAGAAAAAAATAAATAGAAACTGCATGTTCTTCAATAAACAGAAATATAGAAACTTTTAAAGCTTAAAGCTGGACCAAATATTTCAATCTATGAAAACATATTTTAAATGTGTTTCCATCTTAAGAATTCTTGTTTGGCAATATAATTATAACAAATAAATGATATATACTTCTGACTCTCCAAAAAGAAACTTCTTGGATATTGTAACAATTTAGAATAAATATATTCAGTACTGTCACCTAATTGAAATTAGTAATCAGTAATAAATTATAGATAGACGTACCTGTGAATCCTGCACATTGTACTTCTTCAGGAGCCTGGCCTTTTCTTCTGCAGTCAACACTTCATGCTTGGGCTTCAGGGCATGCTTACTAATGTTAACCAGTAACTCATTGACCTTCAGTTGGAGGAGCACATCAGTTTGAATATAAAGTGTATAATGTAGAATATATAGATAACATATCATATATGTATAGTAAAGCATCAACTGTACACGACTAAAGTGATGAAACTACAAGGGATTAAGCATTTGCTGTACATGACAGAAGTCGTGAAACTACAAATAAGTATTCAAGGTTTTTTTGCGAATAAGTATTCAAGGTTGAGAGCATAACTTGCAGAAACTTGTACACTGGATTCTGATTCAAACCAATAGAGTATGCTACACTACGTCAAGCATTCAAGCATCAATATTGAATGCACAAAAATGTACATACAAATTAGTTGATGTGCTTTACTTAGTGGCATGTCGTTTATTTACATAATTTTAATTTCAACACAGTCAATGCTGTTGTTCATTTACATAATTTTAATTCCAACAAAGCCATGAATAATTATACAAAACTAACCTGAAAAATATCTACTTTAAATGTGAATTTCTCCTTAACAGACTCTTTAGCTCTAGGCATTATCTTTCCCTGCAATATCAAAATAAGTCTGGACAAGTTCTCTCCTTCGATCTGGTCATATATCTCCTGGATAGTTGCGATTTTGACAGGTTCTGGTCCACAGAATAGAATTTTCACCTGAGATAAGAGTTAAACCATAGTTAAATCTATATGATATGCAAAAAAAGGCTAATTTATGTTCGGGTGAACGAGCTCCGAGCACACGGCTCCACCCTCGATTGCATTAACACTGGACGCCAACACCACCTCTGTCGTCGCCCTTTTATGTTCTCTCCTTATTTATCCCGCGTGTTTCTTTCCCTTTCCTGCAGAGCAGCGCCACCACAGTTACTTGCCGCCTCCTTCCGCTGCGCCGCATCCTCCTCTACTGTCGAGTCCCTCCCCGTTCACGCTGCCATTCTCACTGGTGTCTGCGCTGGGAGTTGGTGAGGCGAGGGGCAGATCTGGGCTTTCTTTTCCCAGCAATTGCTGCTGACACCATGAGGTAGAGTGCTGTATATAGTTATTTTTGTGTTTATAGTCCGCCTTTTTAGTTGAATTTTGTAGTGACTGAAAGCTTCACGGAGGAGGGGGGTTGGAGGTGCCATTTTAAAAAGTTGAGAGTTTGTCTTCACCAGGTAAGAGATTGTGATTCATTCGGTTGATATTTTTGTGTGAGAGTTCAAAATTGATTCTCTCGTGGAGATTATACGAGTGAAAGCCCTTGGTTGAAACTTGTTTCTTACTTAGGTTAAAGTTGCCGATCACCAAATTGAAAACCGATCTTTTTTCTCTTCTCCGGCTCAGGCGCTGACGACGGCAATGCCGCCACTCATGGCCCAAAGCTAGGGCCAGAATGTGGGGACATGGTGGGGTGTGTTCCGACAGCACAAGGTAGCTGTCGAAACTCAATGAACTATCACTAATTAGACCCCCACCCCCACCCCACACAAACGTTATGTAAACATTGAACTTCAGTACATACATGCTAAATTGAGCCATCCATTTGCAGAGTGATGTTTAGATAGAGGGGGTATATTAGTATCAAGAAGATATCAATTGCACCCGTTTTGCAGAGTGATGATAACCGTAAACATTCTGAACCACAAGAACAACAATCTGCAACTGCTATTGGAAACCTAGTAACATCATCATGCACCTGACACAAGTCGAAAAAAGTTGAGGTGGCGCCGGAAGGATGAGGACGACACTGCGTCGAATAAAGTTGCCTAGGCTTGCTCCTCACACGACGACGATCTCCATGACGGCATCGAGAAGCTGATGGCCTGGTCTTCTCACCATCCGGCCGGGACGGTGAGATTAGGTCTTCTTTTAATCTCCGATAGTTGCTGTTTTTTTTTTTGCGCAGTGGTGTCGGAGGCTAGCCGAGCCTAGGAGGATTCGCTTAGGTAGCTGGAACGTAGGGTCTCTGACAAGGAAGCTTCGGGAGCTAGTTGATGCAGCGGTGAGGAGAAGTGTTGATATCCTTTGTGTCCAAGAAACCAAATGGAGGGGACAGAAGGCGAAGGAGGTGGAGGATACTGGCTTCAAGCTGTGGTACATGGGGACGGCTGCAAACAGAAATGGCATAGGCATCTTGATCAACAAGAGCCTCAAGTATGGAGTGGTAGACGTCAAGAGACGTGGGGACCGGATTATCCTGGTCAAGCTGGTAGTTGGGGACTTAGTTCTCAATGTTATCAGCGTGTATGCCCCACAAGTAGGCCACAATGAGAACACCAAGAGGGAGTTCTGGGAAGGCCTGGAAGACATGGTTAGGAGTGTACCAATTGGCGAGAAGCTCTTCATAGGAGGAGACCTCAATGGCCACGTGGGTACATCTAACACAGGTTTTGAAGGGGCGCATGGGGGCTTTGGCTATGGCATTAAGAATCAAGGAGAAGATGTCTTAAACTTTGCTCTAGCCTACGACATGATTGTAGCTAACACCCTCTTTAGAAAGAGAGAATCACATCTGATGACTTCTAGTAGTGGCCAACACTCTAGCCAGATCGATTTCATCCTCTCGAGAAGAGAAGATAGGCGTGAGTGCCTAGACTGTAAGGTGATACCTGGAGAGAGTATTGTACCCCAGCATAAGCTGGTGGTTGCTGACTTCCGCTTTCGGATTCGTGTCCAGTGGGATAAGCGTGCCAAAGTCGCTAGAACGAAGTGGCGGAAGCTCAAGTGGGAGGTAGCTCAGGCGTTCAAGGAGAGGGTCATTAAGGAGGGCCATTGGGAGGAAGGAGGGGATGCGGACAATGTGTGGATGAAGATGGCGACTTGCATTCGTAAGGTGGGCTCGGAGGAGTTTGGGGTGTCCAGGGGAAGGAGAAGCGAAGATAAGGATACCTGGTGGTGGAATGATGATGTCCAGAAGGCGATTAAAGAGAAGAAAGATTGCTTCAGACGCCTATACTTGGATAGGAGTGCAGACAACATAGAAAGGTACAAGATGGCGAAGAAGGCCACAAAGCGAGCTGTCAGTGAAGCAAGGGGTCCGGCATATGAGAACCTCTACCAACAGTTAGGCACGAAGGAAGGCGAAAAGGACATCTATAAGATGGCCAAGATCCGAGAGAGGAAGACGAGGGATATTGGCCAAGTCAAATGCATCAAGGACGGAGCAGACCAACTCTTGATGAAGGACGAGGAGATTAAGCATAGATGGCGGGAGTACTTCGACAAGTTGTTCAATGGAGAGAATGAGAGTTCTACCATTGACCTGGATGACTCCTTTGATGAGACCAGCATGTGTTTTGTGCGGCGAATCCAGGAGTTTGAGGTCAAGGAAGCTTTAAAAAGGATGAAAGGAGGCAAGGCGATAGGCCCTGATTGTATCCCCATCGAGGTGTGGAAAGGCCTCGGGGACATAGCGATAGTATGGCGAACCAAGCTTTTCAACCTCATTTTTCGGGCAAACAAGATGCCAGAAGAATGGAGACGGAGTATATTAGTACCAATCTTCAAGAACAAGGGGAATGTTCAGAGTTGTACTAATTACCGTGGAATTAAGTTGATTAGCCATACAATGAAGCTATGGAAGAGAGTCATTGAGCACCGCTTAAGAAGAATGACAAGCGTGACCAAAAATCAGTTTGTTTTCATGCCTGGGAGGTCGACAATGGAAGCCATTTTCTTGGTACGACAACTTATGGAGAGTTACAGGGACAAAAGAAAGGCTTGCATATGGTGTTCATTGACTTGGAGAAGGCCTGTGATAAGATACCACAGAGTGTCATGTGGTGGGCCTTGGAGAAACACAAAGTCCCAGCAAAGTACATTACCCTCATCAAGGACATGTACGATAATGTTGTGACAAGTGTTCAAACAAGTGATGTCGACACTGATGACTTCCCGATTAAGATAGGACTGCATCAAGGGTCAGCTTTGAGCCCTTACCTTTTTGCCTTGGTGATGGATGAGGTCGCAAGGGACATACAAGGAGATATCCCATTGTGTATGCTCTTTGCGGATGATGTGGTGCTAGTTGACGATAGTCGGACGGGGTAAATAGGAAGTTAGAGTTATGGAGACAAACCTTGGAATCGAAAGGGTTTAGGCTTAGTAGAACTAAAACCGAGTACATGATGACATGATGTGCGGCTTCGGTACTACTAGGTGTGAGGAGGAGGAGGTTAGCCTTGATGGGTAGGTGGTACCTGAGAAGAACACCTTTCGATATTTGGGGTCAATGTTGCAGGAGGATGGGGGTATTGATGAAGATGTGAACCATCGAATCAAAGCCGGATGGACGAAGTGGCACCAAGCTTTTGGAATTCGCTGTGACAAGAGAGTGCCACAAAAGCTAAAAGGCAAGTTCTACAGGACGACGGTTCGACCCGCAATGTTGTATGGCGCTGAGTGCTGGCTGACTAAAAGGCGACATGTTCAACAGCTAGGGGTGGCGGAGATGCGTATGTTGAGATGGATGTGTGGCCACACGAGGAAGGATCGAGTCCGGAATAATGATATACGAGATAGAGTTGGGGTAGCACCAATTGAAGAGAAGCTTGTCCAACATCGTCTGAGATGGTTTGGGCATATTCAGTGCAGGCCTCCAGAAGCTCCAGTGCATAGCGGACGACTAAAGCGTGCGCAAAATGTCAAGAGAGGGCGGGGTAAACCGAATTTGACATGGGAGGAGTCCGTTAAGAGAGCCCTGAAGGATTGGAGTATCACCAAAGAACTAGCTATGGACAAGGGTGCGTGGAAGCTTGCTATCCATGTGCCAGAGTGTTATGACCGGGGTAACTTATACCCGGAGGAGGCCCACTGGGCAGGTTTAGTTAGGGGCTTAGCCCAAAAGTTAACTTATTTTTATTAGCATCGTGGTTATATAAACAACTGTAAGATTCTTTTAGAAATTAAGCAATAAGACTATTCCTACTGCCCGGCTCCCAGAGGAGCCGGAACCCTAACCTAGCCGCCGCCTCCTGCATCGCCGCCGCCCCTCCCTTCGCGCGAGACGGCGCCAGCACGCCGGCCGCCACGGTCCAAGCCTCGCCCCGCTCCCTCCTTCCCCTACAATCTCCGGCCTAGACCCGGTAGAGCCCTGCTCCTTCCCCTGCAATCTCCAGCCTAGACCCGGTAGAGCCCTAGCTCCTACCACCTTGGTATCAGCTAGCTCGGTTGCGATCATGTCTTCGCCGCCACCCACCCCATCCCTCCCGCTGCCGACCTCCACCACCATCAGTGCCCCCATCGCCCAGATGCCGGTTCCCTCCACCGTGCCGCCAGCCGCCGTCTACACCCCGGAGGAGGTCACCGGGGTCCTCCACGACCTCGTCACAGTGGTCCAGGGGATTCAGTTGTACTTGGCAGGCCCCTACGGGCCACCGCCGCCGGCCCTGCCGTGGTACCCGCCGCACTTGGCGGCCTCCGCGACGTTTGCCGGGCCGCTGCAGCCCCAGCTGCAGCTGCAGCC